GTTCCTTTGCGGGATTTTAGTGGTGGTGATGCTAGATGTGGTGGCGACAGAACCATCATAATGAACGGTGGCCGTCGCAGTTTTGTTGTCGACTGCAATGATCATGGTGTCCATGAAAGGGGAGGCGGTGATGAGGTATCTGCCGGTGGATTTGTTGGCGGTGAGGAGGGTGTTGGTGGTCTGGCCTGGGGTGATGAGAATAGTGTCGGTGGTGAAGGGTTTGGTGTAGATGGCATCGACTTCGACGATGGTGAGTTTGTGGCCAGCGATTTTAAAGAAGAGGTCTTCGTTGAGTGCAGCATTGATGATGCGGAGTAGGTATGTCTTGCCGCTTTTTACATGTAGTTTGAATCCATCTGCACAATTAACGGTCATTAGTATGAAAAAATATTACATGCGGACAATATAGATGTGTATTTGATGATATTTGGTAGTATTTTATGGTATTATGATAAAATATCATCAAATACTAAAATTAGTAGGGTATTGTATCAACTCTGGGTTTATGCACAGAAATGATAGTGACTATAATTAATTAATTTTCTATGTACAGTTCAATCACACATCAAAGACTTACAAAATACAAATATGAAAAAGTCGATGTTAGATATGTAAACATATAGGAATTGTGTGGTATGCATGTAAATTTCCCATTAAAAAAACGCCACCTTGTAAAGAATTGCAGGCAGACAAAGGGCCTGGGTGACCGTTGATGGTGTGAGCATCAGAAACATTTGGTGCTTGGCCGGTTTGCATTGCCTGGTTAATGACAGCTTCCGTGTCAGCCTTCCACCACTCGCCTATCCAAATTATAAGATAAGAATATTTAAATTGTGAAAAGGTGGAGATTAATATAAATTAAAGTTATGTAAATTACCTAAGATGACGACGACCTCCTTGTAGGGTTTAGGGAAAGGGTAAGAGACTTTGGGCTTGGGCTTGATGACAATGGCGCCATGAAGTGTGACCCTTAGCCATAATATGTGGGCGTGGTACCATAGAGTACCTCGCTGGCCTGTTAGGGTGAAGTTATAGAGGTAGCTCTGGCCGGGTTGGATTGGGCATTGGGTAATGTAAGCTGGCCCGTCGGCCCAGCCCGTTCTGAGTTGTCTTACTCCATGCCTGAAATGTGAGCATTTCCGGACGGCGTTATGAATTTTACCAGGTCAATATGCACAATAGCATAGTACAATTGATGCAGTCGTCCGAATAATCAGCATCATGACCTAATATTTTCTCGCAATGATGATAGAGATTGCTTTAAATATGCACTTAAAAATGTCCTTTAAAAAAGCTTGCATCTTTTTCTTTTTCCATCAAACATGTTCTTTTTTGTTTTTAGTATTACATGAAAATACAAGATACTTGTAATTCTGTTTAAATATATGGGCAGAGTGTCGCTGACCAGTGAATCGTAACGTTGTAATTGACTTTATTGACCACGTTGACTAGCACGTTGTCACCTTCTCTGGCGTAGAGAGTTGGGCCTGGATACCGTCCATTTACTGTTACAATTGGCTTCGAGGAGCAGAGATGAGTGGTCGTCTTCAGCACCACCTGTAAGTTTAATTGCCAAGCCAATTAAAACATGGTGGCTAATCAGTTTGTTGATCTTAGTTCATAATATTTTTACTGCTTAAATATTATTTATATACATTGAAGTTAAACTAATTCTATGATAAGTTACACTACCCACTAAAAGAAAATTTCAAAAAAAAATTCATATAATTTATAAATATTTTCATATAACATCTAAATTTTAATTTTTATTAGTATGATAAGTTACACTTATAATCACATCATAATACATCCAAATGATTTGTTTTTTTCTTCAAAAAATTAATACGAATAACACTAGTTATATAAAGTTAAAGATTGGAGCGTTATATCAAATAAATACTAAAATTTAAATTCTACATGTGTAAATAAATAAGAATTGTGTGGTATGCTAAAAAAATAAGGGTAAGCCATGTGCCCCACTACATGTGCTGATTTGCAAGGATTAAATGGTAGCAAAACATCTTGCTCATATCACCAAATAATTTCTCTAAACAGTAAGCATATATGCATGATTCAAACATCATTTATTCCAGACAAATCACTTACTATTAAGTGTTCATAAGCTTGGCAAATTTATACATCCTTGAAAATATGATTTTGAACATGATACATTAACATACATTTAAAAAGGCGCCGGCTTCTGTGCTCAAATTAAGAGTGCGCTTGAGGTAGTTTGTGCTTAGACAGATAAATCGCTTATCTGGAAACACGGAGGACGGGATCGACCCGCGTTCCGCATTTAGTGTAAAAAATCAATTGCGTTTTCGGAGAAGCTGTTCAAAAGTAATTTCCAAATAGTGAGGCAGCGTTTTTTAAATTACCACCGCAGTGGATAAGCTACCCCAAATGGAACCTAAACCTAAATATTACACTTAGAAGAGAGCAATAAATTAATAGTGATTCATCGGATATAAATACTTACATTGAACTCATAATGGCGAGTAATGCCATTTGCAAGCACTGAAAACAACAAAATCACAAGCAAAATTGCATGAACTAATGACACCATTTTCCTCAATTTTCTCTTCTATTAACTTAAAGAACACACCCTCTCCTTCTTCTCCGCCACATTTAGCTCTATATATTCTATATTTTAAGTGATGATTTGCTTGAGTTAGGTTTAATGAGAGAAATGGGAAGGCGGATTACAATTAAAAGGAATTGAGGGTTGTAGCTGTGAGGTCGCTTTTGATATTAGGTGAATGGGAGGAAGCTTCATCAATAAGGTTTTGGTGGAGATATATAACCAATTAAACCACTCCTGCTCTTCACTTCCCCTGGCGTTATTTAATTAATTACTCTGGATTTCTTGATTTCTACATAAAGCTCTTGCTTATCACTCTGGTTAGAATTCTTGAACCTGCAGCTTCTGGGATCCATGGCTTCAGTCCCTTACTTTTGGTAAAAGGTTTTGGTTATTAGGTGGGAGAGAGTCAATTAGTTATTATAATTTTAATTTTAATTAATGCGCATAAATGGAATGATGAGTGTAATTGAGTAATTTGTACATCTAATCATTTGAAAAGAGTAATGTTATTTATTTATATTTTTGGAGAAATTAAGGGTATAGAGTCCAATTTCTATTAATAATAGAAAGAGCCAAATGCAAGAAATAGGATGTCAAATTGTGGCAAAAACACAAATGAAGAAAATAGAGAACTAAAACATAGGAATATTCAAAACTCAGCAACGAAAGATTCAAGAAATATGACTTGAAGTGAGAAAGTTAGAGAAGAAGAAAGAATTTGGTTGAATGAAGTTAGAGATTTAAGTATTATATGCTTTGAATATTAAAAATAATTTAAACATTACTGTAAAATTATTATTTTATTTTCATATTTAAAATGAATGAAAATTCAAAGTATTATTTCTTAAAATATATTTAATATTTATGTAGCGAAAAAAAATGCATGAATTCGTATAATTATCGGAATGTAAATGCATAAAACTATTTTAGTAAATGGTAACTCCTTTGTGTTAGGTATGACTCATATACCATAAATGAGACAGATGTTGGAGCGGAGCGGAGCCCACGAGCGGAGTGGAGCGGAATGATCTGTCCAATCGGGGAAGTTTCATTATGTGGGTAGGGGGTGCGAGGGAAACTCTCGCGGTTTGGTACATGGGTAATTTAAGTAATTACATATTGTACTATAGGGTTATATGTATGTCCTGTTTGTAACTCTATGGGAGCCTCTGAGGCCTGAGATTCTGAATCTTGTATTTTGTACTCTTTTTTGAATATTTAAAAGAATGCAATATTGAAAAGGAAGTCGTCGTTCTGTTTTCGAGGATGTAGACATCTTTGCCGAACCTCGTAAATCTCTGTGTGCTCTTCTGGATTTGTATCGATTACTATTTTTCTTCGCCCAAATTTCTCAAAACTTTTCAATCAAACTCTCAGCACATAATGTAAATACATAAAACTATAATAACCTCTTAGTTTCTTAAATACATAAACTGTAATAATCCCTAAGTTTTTTATATACATAAAACTATAATTAAGAGAATGTAAATACATAAAACTATAATAATCCCCAAGTTTTTTAAACCATGTTTTTGTATGTTTATTACTGAAAATTACTGGCAACATTAACCTTATAACGAGTGAAAAGCATCACGAGTAGCTTTATGAAAGTCTCCACTCCACATATTGTGTATAGAGGGAATATTGTGTATAGAGGGTATTTTCCTTTAATTTTATTTGAAAATTATATTTATTTAATATATTATTTTGCATATTTTTATTTAGAAAAATTTAGATACGCAGTACACAATTCTTATAAATTTACATATCTCACACTTAAACTTCCATATTTTTGTAGATAGGATTTACATGTTTTAAGTCGGTGCATGAAAATGTGCATTTGACTTTTAAAAAATGATAATAATATTATTTTTTATGTAATATTAAGGATTTAAAAATTTAGGCGTGAGATATCTAAATACATAAAAATTGTCTCACATCTAAATACATAAAAATTGTGTGCTACGTAAATAAATGTCTCTCTTATTTATAACTTTTAATTAGCTTGTTTTTAATGTATTTAAAATATCTGAAAATACTTTTGAGTATTGTCCAATGCAAAGATAGCACCATGTTATTATACGTGGTGGTGGTGGCGTGGTGCAATTCATGCTGTGAGAAAAGTGTTCAAAAGAAATAAATAAATAAAAAGAAGAAGAAAACGGACGGCCCACCATCTTCCCATGATAATGGCTTTTACAGATCAATCATGGTGGAATCTTGCCTTTTCTAAATAAGTTTGAACTTAAATTAAATATAATGCGGCTCAAAAGG